TGTGTGCAGATTATTGAGGACTTAACAAGATCACTATCAAGAATGTGCATCCTCTATCTTCGATTTTAAGACTTATTGATCAACTAGATTAAGCAAAGATCTATACAAAAATAGATCTATAAGGAGCATATAACATGGTTCGCATCAAAAAAAGAGATGAATGGAAGATTGCTTTCAAAACTAAGTATAGACATTTTGAATATAATGTCATGCCTTTTGGACTCACAAATACATTAGCTGCTTTTCAAGATCTAATGAATGATATTTTTTGTGAATTTCTTGATGATTTTATCATCTATTATTTAGATGACATTTTAATCTGTTCTAAGAACACAAAAGAGCATGAAGCTCATGTTTGTTGTGTATTACAAAAACTAAAAGATGCATGATTATACACGAAGATAGAAAAGTGTGTATTCCACACTACTTAAGTTGATTTTTTGAGATATATAATTTCCAATGAAGGTCTTATGATAGATCCAATGAAGGTCCAAACTATCATAGATTGGAAGTCTCTAATAATAATAAAATATATGTAATACTTTTGAGCTTTGTAAATTATTACCAAAGCTTTATCAAGAACTTTTCTCAAGTTGTAGCTCTACTTACACGTTTGACTTGTAATGACAAACTTAAGTGGAATAAAGAAGCCAAAGTATCATTTGTTGTTTTAAAGAAGGAATTTCTTTGTGCACCAACTTTTTATTGCATTCACTTTTCTAAGGCATTTTTTATGGAAGCAGATGCATCAGACTTTGCTTTGGATATAGTATTTTCACAAATGAGAACAGATAACAAACTCCATCCAACAGCTTTTCATTTTAGAAAATTTTGAATGACTAAGATTAAATATGAGATCTATAACAAAGAACTTCTTACAATTGTAGATTCATTTCAAGAATGGCATCATTATCTAGAAGGCACTTTAAGTCTAATTATAATATATACAAATCACAAAAATCTCAAGTATTTCATATTGGCACATATTTTGAATTGTCTCTAAGCCCGTTGCAACATGTCATTATCGAGATTTGATTTCAAGATTACATGTTGACTTGAAAAATAACAAGATTTATCAAATGTTCTTTCTAGACACTCTTATCTTGTACCTAAAGAAGGAGACATATCTTTTTATCAACAAAGAACAATCGTCTTGAAGCTAGAGCATTTTCATCTTCAAGCAATGAAATCAACATTGACTATTGATTCAACCTTTATCAAATAAATTTAATCAAGTATATTTTCTAATCTTCTTATTCATGATATCAAGAATCTATTTTCTAAGTCTCATGATGTTTCAAAGTTCAAGTTCAAGAAAAAACTTTTCTATTTTGAAGAATACTTATATGTTTCAGAAAGAAAAGCACATTTAGATGTTCTTCAAGCATGTCATGACTTTCCACCAACAAGATATTTCGAATACAACAAGACTATATCTAAACACTTTTGGTGGCCACAAATGTGGAAAGCAATAATAGACTTTGTCTAATCATATGAGATTTTTACAAGATCAAAAACTTGTCGTCATTGATCTTATAGACTTTTCCAGCCATTGCCTATACTTGAATAATCATGGTCTTCTATTTCTATGGATTTTATTACAAATCTTTTAAGTTCAAGTTCATATGACTCTATATTCATAATCATAGATTATTTCACCAAAATGGTACATTTTATACCATATATGAAACCTATTTTAGGTCAAAAAATAGCTAAGCTTTTCATTAACAATATCTATTACTATCATAGATTGCCAAAGGATATTATAATGAATATGAAGACTCAATTTGTATCAAGATTTTAGAGAACCCTATTTAAGATTTTAAAGGTAGATATAAAGCTCTTTTCGACTTTTTAACTTCAAATTGATAGGCAAATAGAATAGATGAATTAAGTTTTGGAGTAGTATTTGAGATGTACTATCAACTATCACCAAGATGATTAATCAAGTCTTTTGCTATTGGTAAAGTTTGCATATAATAATTTGATAAATTCTTCTACTCAACATACACCTTTCTTTGCCAATTATGGTTATCATCTATGACTTGATATTTTTGACTTTTCAAAAATTGATAATCTTACGGCAAAAGATTTAGTAAATCGTTTATTAGAGCTGCATGCAATAATGAAGATACAATTAAAAAAAGCTCAAGAATGACAAAAGACCTACACATATGCATATTGCAAGGAGCAACGACAATTCAATGTAGGTGATAAGGTATGGTTACCTTGTTGCAATATCAAGACTTCTTGTCTTTGTGATAAGTTGGACTATCGTAGGTTGAGATATTTTCCTATTTGTGAACAAATCAATCATGTTGTTTATTGATTACATCTACTAGAGTCTATAAAAATCCACCTTGTATTTCACGTGTCTATTCTTGAGCTATATAAGACAATGAATACAGCTCATATGAATATCTCAGAAAGAAGACAAATGCCACCTCTTCCTATAGAAGTGGATAATAATCAAAAGTTTGAGTTGGAAGAAGTTTTAGATTTAAGGCAATGCCAAAATAGGTTGGAATATCTTATTTATTGGCGTAGATATGATATTAGTGAATGTTCATAGAAGTTAGTAAAGAATCTTGTAAATTCAACAAAGAAGGTTGAAGCCTTTCATTAATAACATCCATCAAAATCAAGATGAAGAATTGCAAAGATCCATAAAAAATGATGATCATTCTTCATGGAACTTGTACCTAGAAGGGAGGATAATGTCATGGACATATATATTTATTCAAATAGTTACTTGTTTGATTAAGTAGAAATAGGTAAATATAGATTAATTTCATAAAGTCTTTTAGGAAAGCTTCCTAGAAGCTTCATAGATGCAATTTTGACTTTACATGTGTTTGTAGGATAGAAACTTGACCAACAAGTTAACCACGTATTGGTAGCTTGTGGAATAAGTTAAATCTTTGTATAGTAGATTGTAAAACAAGCTAATTATATGGCACATACATAGATAACTTGCCTTACAAGTTAAGATATGTGGCTAACAAAGTCAATACATGTTGGAGGTCCTATAGAATATTGCTACATAGTTCTTAGTTAGAGAGTATATATGGAGGCATGAATGAAGCCTTCTTCACTCTTGTCAATGCCTTTATAGTTCTTAGTCTTGTTTCAAGACTTTCTAATCTACTTATTTTTAGCAATAGCCATTCTAATTCAATATTATATTATTTTTGAGAAATATTTTAGTTCTTTTTAGTGATACAAGAGTGTGTTAAGGATTTTCTTTCTTTGAGATTCATGCCCTTGATAATATATCAAGTAAATTTTCTTTAGTCTTTGGTTTATTAATTAATTGGCACAAATTAGAGGCTTACTAGATCAATAAATATAAATCATTTTGACCTTGGATCTAGACCTTTGACTAGATACAGTTTTAGAAAGGCCAACTTCCTAAGCTCTTCAAAATTTTCTTTGGTCTTTCTATTTACACATCTAATACTGACAACTTCATACTTGAAAAGATTAAAAAAAAAAAAAAAAAAAAAAAAAAAACTCACATATTGATGTAACTTGAAACTATCTCTCTTAAGCCAAAGACTAATTGTCAACCAAATACTTTTATTTTTTCTTTTGTATTTTATAGAAGTCTAGGCTAATTCAAGAAAAATAATCAAAGAAGTCAAAGTACTCCTTTGCAACTACTTATAGCCAAGAGGAAAACATCAAATTTAAGTGTATATGGCATGAAAAATTTATATTTTGAATTACAATGTGAGAAGAATAAACCTTATTGATCCTAATGATGCCACTAATTATTTACTAAGTAAGCGGGTGGTCAGAGCTTGTAAGTGTAATAACTATAATATCTTTATCTTTTTTTGCAACTACTTATGCAACTACCAACCTATCAAAAGACAAAATTGGAATTTAGATCCAAATTAGTATATGATTCAAAACCATCAAAGATCTTTGGACTCAAAAACTTGCATATAGATTGGAAAGATGACAAAAGGTGGTGAAAACAATACAATAAAAGTGCCTCTTTATCTTTGAAAAAATCTACAAAGTTGGACTATAGCATAGCCCTAAATTCACAAATATCACTCAGTCGGCATTCTCTTTATAATTAGCTATAGAACTCTATCACTATGGCATCAATAGAATAAATGATTGTTGGTTACAATATTACAAGGAATACCTCATATGAAAAGAAAGACAAGTAAAACCTTCATTTACAAAGGAAGAAGAAGCACAAGTAAAATCTTCATTCACAAAAGAAGAAAAATGAAGATAATGATTTATACAAGCAATCATTCATATCCAATTTAAAACAACTTTGATGTAAGGGATGTAAGAAGCTGAATTTGGCAAATAACTAGCAATCTATATGCATGGCATTGACAACACCCTGATCTTCATGACACAAGTTATCCCACAATTGAAAAATTTGCACCCAACATTGAAAAATTCATATTTTTTGTCCCAGGATCATTGAAACCACAGCACATCGCTTTAGGGAATGCCCAAGAATGCAAAGAATCTGGGAGTTGAGATCAAGGGTCATCCATGCTATCCAACACAAACACCACCATCCATCCACGTGCTCCGACCTCAAATGGACATACTCTGTCTTTATATGTAGAATACTGAAAAGATTTGGAATCCTTGGTGAAATCTGGACTCTCCTTCAAGATCTGTCCCTTTGGAAACATGGCTCAAAAGAAATGATAGCATATTCAATAATAATGATTGGCCCATGAAGTACCTATTCAATAGGATTTGGCAAAAACTGAAAAGTTAACCTAGATTGAGGAATTACTGTTAGGGCTTATAATCTACTTAGAATCCCAGGCCCCCAAAATACTGGGCTGCCCAACTTGGGGGCGACCTAGTATTTTCGGGAGGCAGCTTAATACTTCAAGGGCAGCTTAATACTTCAAGGGCAGCTTAATACTTCAAGGGCAGCTCAACCGCTGGTTGCCCGTCATTGAGCTGCCCGCTAATGGATGGCAGACGGATGAAGTAAGAAAAGGTCGAAGTGTGAGCCGGGTACCTGTTTTTTGCGAAATCGCAAATCCCTAGGCCTCTTTACTTCCTGTGGAGACTCTACTCTTTAGTGCAGTCGATACTATCTGATGAGATGGAACGATTAGTGAAGAAATTTGAACAAAGGTACCGGCGAGCGCTGGACCATCACAATACGTGGGAGGAGCTACAGTCACGACTTTTGAAACAGTTTTCTAACGCTAGTGCCATTCTTGAGAGATTGCCGGTAAGTTATTATCTTTATTTTCTCATCAATATTGAATTCGTTCGTTCGTTTTTCTTTTTTTTTTTTTCTTTTTTTTTTCTTTTTGTTTTTTTGTTACTGCAGCGATGATTGCTACATAGGAGTTGGCTGCGGCAGATTGCGAGTTTATTTGTTTGATGTTTCCGAGTTGACAACCTGCCTTGTATCTCTATTAGGTCTTGTGGTACCTCTGTTTTTGGTTACCTACGATATTCATTGAACTCGCTTCCATAAAGAACAGAATTGTGCGAAGCTTTGTGTCGGAAACCTGTGTTCGAAAGGCTTTTCAGTTTATGTATGTGAGATTTGTAGATGCTGGCTTCAGGTGCTCCTGGAGTCAAAGAATTATGGCATCTTGGAGAACGTGAAGTCAATAGCGCAAGCTTTGCCAGCAGTGCAGATTGAACAACTAGAGCTAATATTGCGGTCAATGCATTCCACCTTGTGAGGAACTTTCCTTCGTCTTCTGTTCAAATCGCTCACATCCAGGCAGCTGAGTCTCTCTGGAACAGATCTGTAATCTTCAGGACATCGTACGGTTTTAGCACAGTTGAAACATTGAGTTTTTAAGTGCCTCATACATGTGACGGGCGCAATCATCTCATTACTCATGCTCGTTTTCGCTGGTGTGAATGTTGAGACTCAGAGCTGATCTGGAAAAGATCGTCAAGTCATTTGAAAAGTTATGGCGTGATGGAATTGGGCTACTGAAAGCTGAGAAGATCACAGCACAGCAATCTGAGCAAAGGGTCGGATCAAGACCAAGTTTGAATGATTGCTTGAAGGGCCTGCATGATCTTTACCTAATGCATCGGGATGAGTAAGTCTCGTTGTAATCGTATCATGGTTGGCATTAGCTCCTTTTCTGGTTCATATTTGAAGTGTGAATACAGAGGATATATCAAAACTGGTGGATCATAAGAAGAGTGGCTTCATAATTGTAGGGGCCTTCCTAATTGGTGTTGTTTGTACTCGCAGACATAAGCTGAAACTCGCTATTATTTCTTCTTTGTCTTACGAGTCCAGGTATGAAATATCTCACGTTTGTATCGGTTGTTGAAAAGTTAGTAGGTGGATTTGCCACTCAATCTCGATACAGCATGGTCATTTTTTACACGATTTCACAGCATTTAGTCGAGTCAATTGCACGTTAACATTCCAAGTTCCTAGGTACCTTGATGTATAGAGTGAAAATGAATAACACTTGTACAGCAAATTAGATCATTCGAACTAATCGAAAGTGGCACATGTTTCGTAGGAGTGATGATATTAGCGCTTTGCAAGTATTACTTCTAGATCAACCGAATCTACCACCTGATGAAGGTTAGTCATTGCTTTCAAATCCGACGGGTTCCTTGTTCTGTTATCGAAGCACACTTCTATTCAGCCAAACTGAGCTGGAATTGCAATAGATCTAATAGGATGATTCTTATGTTTTCTGGATTGTTAACCACTGTTATCGTACTAAACGGCCTCAAAACTATCTTCTTTGTTTGACTAATAACAAATGCTCTGTTGTTTGTGACAGTAAAACATATTTTTGAAGTGATTGCTGCTGGTGATGTCTGGTAGTTTTTTTTTTTTTTTTTTTTTTTTTTTTTTTTTTTTTTCAATCAAGATTTCATCAACCCTGGGCGTGTGTACTCTTTAGCGGCTTAGAATGGATCTTGTAGCAAAAGTCGAATCACGTCGACATGGTCATTATTTTAGGACCTTCTGCTTAAGCTTCGTAGAATCTGAAGGATGACCCCAATCATATTGTCAGACCCTGAGGAGTCCAAGGTTACGTACAGAGACCACAGAGACACAGTTTGTGTAGAGTTGATTACTGCTTCCAAAACTGATATTCCGAAAGAGCGAAGTGTTCTTTCAAAAGTGTGGCCGTTCAAATTTTTAGTTTCATCTCTGATAAGCCCTGCTTCAATTGGCCTTGGAAATGCTGCCATTACTCTAAAAACAATCGTGCCTCAGAAAGCAATGCTTCCCAAATTCATCCTTCGCTTAAACTGATCCCACTTGGAAGACCACTTTCAAAGACATTCTTACCTATGTATATCCCTCTCGCCCTTTCTCAGTATACACACATACATGAAAGTTCAAACGGGACGATTATTTATAAGTCATTATTTCCGCCAAAAATGTTGGCACTCCAAAATTCAATTGTTAAGACAATCAGGAGACCACGGCAGGGATGGATTTTTTAAGTGGATGGGAGCGGATAGCAAACAGGGCACACATGTGTATGTCGGGGTGCGTTGCGACGAGGATTCCCCCTACTAATGGTGGGTACGAGAAGCCTAATTTGGGCCCCATCTGCAGAGGTAGAGGTCGAGAGAGAAAGATATTGAAGGCCTTGGAGAAACTTTCCCCAAGAGGCAGTGATAGATGAAGATTTTTTTCATCCAAATACAGGTCATCCATCCAGGGGGCGGTTTGTCCCCGGATGGTGTTGACAAGAATCGTCCGTACTAACGCGTTTTCAGGATCGTCCGCGCCTCTCCACGTGCCCCAATCGCGTTGGAGGGGAAACTTTCACGCGGTAACTGGGCCCCTTTCTCGTCCTCGTCCTCGTTCTCCCCTCCCCGCCTCGCTCTCCTGCAGTAGCGCCAGAGCAGTCGATCGGGCCACTAGGGCTTTCCATCTTCATCGTCCCCCCCCCCCCCCCCCCACCCTTGCGCCTCTCGTCCTCATAGCAACGGCCTGGCCTTCGTGCATTCCTTGGGTGTGTGGGTGAAAATGCTCCTCTTCTTCCCCTGGGCCGGCTCTGATCCCTATCCGTCATCCGCGTTCCACTTCTTCGCGCAGGTTTGTTTCTCCCGCGCGGTTTTCATTCTTGCTTCTCCTCTATCTCGTCTTTCTTCAATTTCCGTTTTGTTGCATTGTTGTGTGTGAAGTCGGTTGGCCAGTTTCTTTGGGGTATTATATGCGCATATGTATATTCACGTATACATTTATTATTCATACATATATTTTTATATATGTATATATTTACAGGTCTTTGATGTGTATTTGGTTGTATTGTGTTTCGGTGGTGGAGTTTGATAGGTCTGTTGTTGAGGTTTGAGGTTGGTGGACGTGGTGTGGTAGTTGCTGCGTTTTGGGAGAGCGGTTGGATCTAGGTGTTGTGAAAGAGTGGGATGTGCGTTTTCGGGTTCCGTTCCTTTTCTTTATTCGAGTCGGTTCCCGGTAGTTCAGAGCCGCGAGGCTAGTTACATGCAGCGGTCGGTCTGCGTGGCGGTTAGCAGTGGTATATGTCCTGGAGCACTAGGATGCGATAACTCATACGCCAAGTGGCTAGGCAGCGGCAGATCTGAGGCATTGAGCTTAGTTGCGAGTTTGTGTAACTTGATCAAATGTGCTGTCTGGTTGGATGTTTTGTGTGAGGGTCCTCTGACTGTTAATTTTCGCATGCAGTAAAATAATCCAAGATGGTGGAGCAGCTAACCGAGGATCAGATTGCCGAGTTCAAGGAGGCTTTTAGCCTGTTCGACAAGGATGGCGATGGTGAGTTTGATCCTTTCCGCTTGTCTTACAGAAATATAGAAAATGCTTTCCGGATGCTAGCCTGAGATGGTTACCACTAAGATTTATATGTAATTACGAGATGCATCCGTGGTGTACGATATTTTGCCCATTTGCCTAGTAACTTGGTGTAGTACTTCCACAATGTGATCCTGTAACTTTATGTAAGTGGCTGTATTTCGCATCCTCCTCTGTTAATCCAGGGTCGACATGTGTTAAGGTTCCATTACTACCAAGGAGCTTGGAACCGTGATGAGATCACTGGGGCAGAATCCCACAGAAGCTGAACTGCAGGACATGATTAATGAAGTCGATGCCGATGGCAACGGCACTATTGATTTTGCTGAATTTCTGAACCTTATGGCTCGTAAGATGAAAGACACTGATTCTGAGGAAGAATTGAAAGAGGCTTTCCGCGTGTTCGACAAGGATCAGAATGGCTTTATTTCTGCTGCCGAGCTGAGGCACGTGATGACTAATTTAGGTGAAAAACTCACAGATGACGAAGTGGATGAGATGATTCGGGAAGCCGATGTGGATGGAGACGGCCAGATCAATTACGAGGAATTTGTGAAAATGATGATGGCTAAATAGTTTCATGATCAGTTTATTCCCTCGTTAGTTTCTAGTGGAACAGAACCTGCTGCAGCCAGAATCTCGCTGAACTAATCCTTCTTGCTAATGGTGCCTCATACGGTGCAACGATTTGTTCATCGTTAGCAAAGTCTTGTGCCCTGCTTTAGCAGTGTCAACACTTTGTTAATTTGACTATGTAGGATTATGTTCGGAAATTTCGGCCTGTTTGATCCAAAGCAATGACCTTGTGAGTCGTGGCTACTGACTGGATTTCTCATTTTCACACGTTTTTGACGTTTTTGGATCTGTCGTGCTTGAAGCCTGTCTTTAAATTCTCACGTAATTAACGGGACTTGATTTCCCCTGACCGTATTTTTTCGTTAGATTGTTCCATAATTTCCATGGGGGGGATTTGGTGACATTTATGATTTGTATGAACGTTCGATCCCCAGTGTTTACTTTTCTGGTCATTTATTTGATCATAAGTGACGCTTCGTTGCCTTATCAACAGCTCGAGACATTCAGATTCTTTGGTACTCCTCGCTTTTGTATGAACAATATCTGTACACACTCTACGTTACCATGGCACTGGTGCATTTTACGAACAGTATTGATACTTGGCCTCAACAGGACGGAAAGATGCATCGTCGCTTGCATTTTCGCGAGTGAGTTTGTCTTACTTGTATGTTACTGCCCGTAATAACTCAGTTAGATGTTCTCCTTCTCAGTTGTACACTTTTGAAAGGAAAAATGACACGTGCAGTGATGTCACACTCCTTGTGATAAATAAGTGCAATTTTATAGTGATTATTAGACAACACAGCTGGCCATGGCTCACAGAGTGAATACCAAGTTCGCAGTAAGTACCTGTCTTAGTTACTTGACCCATTCAGTTCCCTGTCACGAACTTGGTTAACTGTCCGTCATCTACTTCGATCCATGTGTACAGCAGTTCTGCCGATTTTTGCCTTTTCATTAATTAACGCCTCACAAGCAATCTCATATGTGGTTATGCAAATTTGTCTAACGTCCATGAAAATATTAGACACACTGGATAATTATTTTTTGAGTACTTTCCGTACATTCACTTGAATGCAACTTCCTCAATCACCGGAGATAATAAACTTTTACTCTTCTTTAAAACTTTTATTGTTGAAGTAGGAATACATAATTTAAGAAAGAAAAGAGAACAAAAAGATTTCCTATTCAAAATTTAATACCAATCCTGATTTGTTGGTTGTAGACTGTAAAGAACGTTTTAAGTGGTATTAATCTTCAAGCACGATAAAACTAAGTTTGGAACATAATATTTTTTTAAATTCTCTGTTCAGACTAGTTGTTCAATTGTGTTGTTTCAGCGTGGTGGCACCCTGCACACACCCTTAGTTAATTCCATTTCATCACCCATGAAGCTTCAACCCCACACCCAGAACCATTCATTCCCATCTCTACACCCAAAATTAGAGTCCCTAATATCATCATCTTTAAGCAGTTGACTCTCTCAATCGGCACTGCCACCCAGGGAAAGGATTCTTGGGACGATTCAGCATGATTCCTTACCCCCTGTGTGATAGTTTAGCAGATCCCATTTCGGTAGTCCGCGAATAGGATGAATTCATGGACTTGGTGGGGCTGCCACTGCGCGAAGTATGGAAGTGAGAAGAGGCCATTGCTGCATCAAGTTTTGCAAAGGTGGCGAGAGATTCGAGCGTAGCCCACCTCAGTAGTTGTCAACTTATCAGGTCCCATCATGTGATGGAGGTCTCATGGACACTAGTTTTAAATGTCGATGAGCTTGATTTAGGGTACTAGTGGACATGGGTTCCACCGGCACCGCATTTTCCACCAGCAACATGAGTACTGGAGCCGTAGCTCTCAAGCACTACCGTGCAAGAAGGTTGTGGCGAATGGGTCACGGCTTAGAACGAGCGAAAGCTAGGCGTGCATCACATGAAAGGCAGTGATCTCGAATATTACGTGAGTGGCTCGTAGTTTTGTACGAATTGACTTTCAAATCGAAGGTTCGCACATAATAATATCATCCAAAAAAGCAGAATGAAGTTGACCTAGCCAGCATGCCATACTTCAAGCACGCCTCTAGTGCTTTGGATATGGCACGGTGAAATAGTTCTCTAGTCTCAACAGTATTCCAGTGTGCGTGAAGCACCTTCCTTAATCGAACGTAGTAATCAAATGTGAACAAAAAATCAGAGGTTTATGACATTTACATGTTTGAAACGTCCATTCAAATTTCTGCATTCATGCTCGCAAAAAACACTCAACATTGAATAATCTGCAAATCGGACACTTGAAACTCTGTGAAGAGGTTCAAGCGACAGAGCAGACCTCTAGCATAGGTACTTCGTGATGGCTACGTGTAGTGCAACCTCTTACAATTGCTCAGTGCAAAGCATAACTTTGGACTTCATTGCATTCCTAGATTCAGCTGTTGCAAACGTGTTCAACATTCTGAGACCACGCAATACCTCGACATTAGAGAAAAGATTCCTGCCAACAAGCCACCTCAGGGACCAGGAAGTGGTGAAGATTATAAAAAAAAACATCCATCCTAATCGTCATCTGCACAATATATGAGTCATCAAATAAGTAAATACTGAAAATATAATTCAACCAGAGCAAATAATGACTGCACACGTGAGAGACACCTACAAACCCAAAATCATTTCTTCTAAGATCCAGGAGGAAAGACGAGAATCCTACGCATTAAGCCAGGAACATGTAATGCCAAGGACTCACGTCAGTCCAAAAAGATTTCAGTTGTCGCAGTGCCAACAAGGAATGCACCAAAGTTTGCTATGGTACAGTATCCATTCCTTCGGAGATAAATGCTTCCTCTTTCGGATCTGCCGTTGTTTGCATAGCTTGTGAATTCAGTACCCTGCATGTCCCTATGGTTAGCTAACTCTTGGTAATATGGTTTTAAGGATTAAAAAATTACAAATGTCATCACACTTAACGATCGACGTAGATAGTTATTTGAAGACGCAGGTAGGCAGACACGAACGACAGACTAATCTACTAAGCACTCCACCAAATCCATACCTGCACAGCTGTGACAATTCTGGTTGCAAAAGTAGCATCTCTGATAGGGGCTTCAACAAGGTCTCCCCTACTCCATACCTGATGTCACCATGGTAACAAAACGAGGTTAAGCAGCTGCTTCCTTCGTCTATAGCAACAGTCGTTCCTTACATTGCGGACGTCAGTATACATCCTAGAAGATTACCGAGATTTTGCTGCCCAAAATATTGGCTGAATTCTTGGTTTCGTGTGCACGAATTTATGAGTACATCACTTAGTTGGAGCACGAATGGTTGATGAAGCTTAAGATGTAAGACATACCTGGCTCCACTTTCAACATCAAGAGTAAGCAACTTGTGGTGTATGCGCCTATCATTACCCACGTAGCTAACCACAAGAGCGCCGGCATCTGGATGTGGCCACATACGGGAGTTGGCAAAACGAAGCAAGAAAGTGCCAGGGGTGGACATAGCTTCGTCAGTCTTCAAAAGAGTTTCTGCTTCATCTCGAGATACCATGCCCTCAATCCATTTTGGATCCTTACATTCCCAAGTAGACTGCAGCTGGGGTGAAGACAATGCTACTGCTGTAGGGTAAATCCACTGCCAAAGCCTGTCAAACTCCTCACGTGAGGTGTACTCCCCACATTTGGCAATTTGGTGCAGAAACTCCTTATCCTGGCAAGGGTAAAACCACGAATTCCAATAACTTAGTTTTTGACAATTACATTATCTTTGCGGCTAGAAAGTCTAACCGTTGTACTCGAAAACAAATTCAGATTAGAGGCAAAGTCACTATTATTGAGCCACCTATCCAAGCTAAACTAGATACATATAAACACGACATCCTGACACATATATTCTGTTAGTGAAGTAGAAAAATTACCTTGAAAGAAAAGGATCGGCGATCACAGCCTGATATCTTCATGAAGCTCTTTTCAATGTGTTTCACAACTATTGACCACGATACAGGACGGCTGTCAGCTGACATAATTTTCCACATCTCGTTGCCATCACGCAGTAAGTTCTTGCCCATTAAAATTTGATACCTGTCCAATTTTCATTACCACTCTCAGCATGAGATTGAATTTGACGATTGTGGTCCCCACACCAACTACTCTTCCCGTGTCATCAGCTAACCAAATTTCTGCTTTGAGGGTACAGACATCTGACGAATCATTAATCTTTACAATACACTTTCAAGAAATTAAAAGAAATATAAATAACAAAAACTGCAGTCATCATCTATCCATTGAAGTTTGACATTGACGCGACAATAAGATTTTTCCAAGGACTAATATAAATATATTACCAACTTTAAGACCAAACGCAGAAAGCATGATACGCATTCGAGGCTTCATTCACACGTGCTACATACCCGTTATGTCGACAACCAGTGAAATGAGACACCTTCCCTGCAAAGTCGGCAAGGTCGAGGTCGTTCCTAACCGTGATCACAGTTTTTAGGAATGCAGCTCGGCAAGTGATATTCTCCAAGCAATACTTAAATACTAGAAGATCAGAAAACCCGGTTGCGCCTGACTTGGGGTTTGGTGTAACTTCTGTTCCTGCACCTTCCAAGGGGCTACTACCTTTAATCACGTCCTGCTTGTTCAAAATATCTAAAGAACCATTAGAGTCGAGGGGGGTTGGACTCTTGCAGACAGGTCCATTTGGAGGCAGGTGACCATAGATTGGCGACCCAAAGGTTCCTCCCAGAGATGGCGAAGTTGGCAGAAGTGACCTCTGGAATGTGCCCGAAAAAGAAGCCTTCAACTCCCCATTTCCTGCTACTCCCATCCTGTCAGTGGATGTCTCAATATACACAGCCCCGATAGGAACCTTTTCTTGGTATCGAGCCCGCTTCAAAGGAGGTTGACCAGGAAGGTATGGAGATACATGAACACCACCTCCACTGTGTAAAGTTCCATTACAATGAGCATCATTGTTTCCAAGATGAGACTCTCCGCTTATCATGTCCTTGCTGCTGGGAGAGATAGTTCCATCTAGGGGAAAAGGAGGATTGTTTGGTTTTTGCTTCCATGCTCCAGCTGGAGTGCGGTGATTCCTATTCCGAGAAACGCACCTTATGGGCCTGGAGAAAGCTCTTAGGAAAGGATAATGGGGCATACTTGGAGAGTCAAAACATACACGAAAAAGCCGATTGTCACACTTTGACGACAACTGCAAAAGACATAATTCCCTCTCTTAAATAATATACGTGGGGAATCGTTTATCATAAAATAAAATTTAGAACAGTTAACCACCCAACCCTTACTCCACCTAATAAATTATGAAGACAGGAGACTGATATGCTTCACAACCCTAAAACATTCTTACAAGGATGAGGGGTTTCCAGGACACCATTAGAATTAGCTCAATAGATGACATCACACTTGACAAGAGTGATCCCTCACTCAGCATACCTGAGATATTTTCAATTTGAACGAAGCCCGCCCATGGATAAGCTTAATAGGCCGCTCTGTTGATGGAAATTCCACGCCATCAAATGTGGTTAACAGAGGTGCCTCCGCATCATCCTTGGGCTTCTCTACGGGACTTCCACTATCCGCATAAACCAGCAATGCTACCAACTGCCACAGTACAAGATTTGTTACTATGCTTCAAATTAGGTGAACAACGAATCTTAAGTACAAATTGCCGTTCAACGACTCTTGTATGCTCGCATCAACATCCGCACCGATTTTGTCAAGGCGGCATACACCTTGAAACCAGAAGAATGCGTATCGACGTTTGCTTACCTCCATTTCTTTGTGGATCGAACGTCCTAAGGCATCAAGCAACGCCACATCCAAAGCAAAGTTTCGTCGACATGAAGCCTGTACTAGTGCATGCGCGAAATTACTAGAAATTAACAAACAAAAGTGGAAAATTAATAAACATTAAGAATCAAACTAAATCGAGACCTAGCGTGGCGCAAAATTCTCAATTCCCCAGCACAGGACCCAATGAAGATAAAGTTAAACATTTTGCGTCAATCTGCATGGAAACTAAACTTGCAAACAAGAAATCGCTTAACTGCAAGCTACAGTCATTTCATGACGAACTTAAAAGAGAGCACTTAAAAAAAAATCATCATTACTAAAAATTCAAAACTTGATCTCCTACCGTGGAGTACTAAATCTTTTTGCTATGACTATAAATGTTACTGCAAATACAAGTCCACATGCAAAGTGAAGACGTGTCCAAAGAAAATGTACAAAAAGTCAACCTTTCCTCCTACAACACTCCACACCCCATCACCTCCTTCCTCCACTTCATGATCATCAGATGCCCCTGTTGAACCATCTAGAGAAAGCTCCAGTGGCGGGTTCTGCCACATAAAAGTGTACGCAGTGTCAGCCAAACCCTTCGAAACTGAAATGATAAAAAATTGGAGGCATGTCCATCTAAAGTATGATGCGAAGCTACAAAAAGCCTAACTACCACGTCACCTTTTCATAACATTCCAGCAGAAAGTATTATTGAAAATTCTTAGATGATATTTGACCAACCTTAACATAGTGGTTTGTGACAGTGGGTTGAGGAAGTACTCGCACGTAATGTGCGTAACCTTGTACACTGTTACAATCAGTATTGTCATCACCTCCCGACAAGAGGACCGTATTCAGATCACCTCCAAAACCTTGGTTGGCATCAGAGTGATTTATTTTCCTTTCTCCTACAACTCCTCCATTCAAATGAAGCCGTGCGATGTCTGGACCAATCTGATTGATTGCGCAGGGTGGTGTTTAAAACCAGTACAGTAGAAAATAAAGCAGTCTTTAGAGAATAAATCTCTGATATTTCGCAAAATGGTCATGAGCTTACCGTTGCCGTCCACAATTTTCAGTTGCTGACAATGAAAAAACATACACACTAAATTGTTCCTCAAGGACCACTCCTTGAAGCACACTACTTAATGCAATCAGTGTATTTGACAATACAAACTTGCCAAAAGGTTCAGAAAGAAGTACTTCATTTGAAATTTCAAAATAAGGTCGCAACGCCTCACCTCACATCCAATGTGGACCCATTTTTCCATCGCGCAAGGTTGATCAGCAACAACAATGATAGCTTCTTCGCGTGTACTTGTTCCATCCTCTACGGGTGGTGGCAGAGGGTGCAGGGTGAGTTTTCTATCCTCTTCAATAGTGAGGAAAGGAACTTTAGAACCTGCTTCTGAGCGTCCCTGAAGTGAGAATGCAATGTTCAATGCAGTCAATTTCTATAAATTGTACGAGCACATTTAAAATCTACAGTAAAGCATGCATTTATAGAAAGAATTAAAAGAAAATACCTTTCAACAGTGTACTTGTGGAGCTAGTTGATTATGGAAGTTTACCTGACGAATGAGGACTCCTGTCTTGCTGCATTTTAGTAGGTAAACCCAAAAACACAGAGTAAACGTGCCTTCTTCGTTCAAGCACTCTTTTTCTAGCCTCACTGAAATTTTTTCTAGGGATAAATAGTCATCATCCCCAAATATGGCACCGACTTTTCTTCCTGAAGAAGCCATGGGCTTTAGTTCAAGCTCAAGTTCAAGCTGCTATGTTCTGCCTCATGAAATTTCCTCGTTGGTAACCTGCAAAAGCTTCCTCCGTCATTTGAAGCGAAAATAATGCTTCCGAAACTGATCCCCAGTATCAAATTCTTCACTCTCACATGTAGGTCGGGTCTCTTTAAATGTGTTGCTAAAATCCTCATAAGGTGTGTCTCCGCAGCAACTCATGGAACTGCACAAATCGCCCACAAATGCATCAGAAATATTCCAACAAAACAATCCTTCTGGAAGTTACTTTCACATTACACCAATAAAAACAGAAAAAAGAAAAAGGAAACACTTTTTCTTAGCAGACTTCAACTTCACAGTCGATCAAGAAAAAAATCATACACAAGATCCTGCAAATAAACTAGTGACTGTCAACGTACTCCTCACATTGTAAACTAAAACCCATAACTTAGCTATACGCATGATTAAGAGCTCCTGATTCACTGTATTGCTCGGTACGCGCTTCCCATGATGAAGAATTTACAAACTTATGAGTAAATGACAAACTCAAACTGTGTCATAAAATAGAAACTAGCTAGCTCGTAAAACCCATCTACTATCTAGTGATGCTTAGGTGTGCCGAGAAGGTTAGGCTCATCTTCAAACATCGTTAAAAAGGAACCAAAGTGGAGGGGGAACCACCAAAAAGGACCCAAATTCTAGGACATTCAATTTCCAATGTAAAGGTCAACAACAACGCACATCATCCCCTCTCGAGGCACCCGAAAAAAGAATGGCAACTAAGAATAACGGTTCTAAAGCCAGGTCTCCATTGGAAAGCTTCCAGGAGAATTGCACCTAACCGTGAATGACCACGGATCCATAGAACCGGCATAGGCCACCGATTCTACGGAGCAATTGTGCCCGTTCTACAACATCCTCGCCGCAACTAAATTCCCCTCACCAAACCACCACTAACCCTGCCAAGCCACTTCTCTGATGACAAAAAATAAAAATAAATCATCTAACCCTCGTCCCACTGAACAAAACCACACTAAAAAGGACTTCAAACAAGGCCCAAAACCACCACTACCACCGATCATCCCTCCGTCAGCACAAAGACTCAACACATCCGCACATCTCCTCCGCAATTCCGCCAATCCACCCGCACTCCACCAGGCCGAAGTCACCAGCTGAAATGCCACTATTCTACCACTAGCACCACCTCCACCACTTCCTGCAGCCCTGTGCACGGGAGAAGGGGAACAACAAAAACAAAAAACAAAAAAAACGAGACAAATCGCACGACTCAAAATACCATAAAGCTCGAGAAGCGGCGCGAACGAAAGGTGCTCACGAGGATTTTAAGAAGAACAAGCCGCCGAGGCTGCAAACTGCAGCTGCTGCCGCACGCTCGTGAAGATCTCCCTCAGCCAAGTGCGCAGCGTGTGTGTCTCTGTGTCTCTCTCCTTCTCTCCCTTTCCCCGTTTCCCTTCCCCTCGCTGCTCCTCCCCCGTCGTGGCCTCGAAGGCTCTGCTCTGCTCAGCGGAAGAGCCCTTGGAGGTAGGTCTCCCTCTACTCTCCGTGTCTGCTGAATTGCATGAGCCCCCCTCTATCCATCCATTTACTTCATCCATCCATTTTATTCATCCATTTATCTGCATGCCCACTCCCTCATCCATCCCTCCCATCCCTGCCTCCTTCCGTACGCCGCGCGGTGTCAAGCGCAGTTCCAACCCCCGTTTTCTTGTTCCCCCTGCCTTCTTCCTCTGGATCCGCCGTGCTCCACCTGGAGGGATTAAACAAAAATTATTTCGTTTCTAACATATTTTTATATGTTAAATTATATTTTTTACTCCAAAAAAAATTTATATGTTAAATTTGGAAGTAATATTTCTTATTATAATATTCTTTAGAAATAAAAATTTTAATTACTTATCGATGCATGTTTTAATATGTTTTTTACATTGTAATTTTAAGTTCAAATGAACAAAAACTTTATGTTCCAGAATTTATGAAAAAAGATTGCAAAAGTACAATGAAATAAGTATGAAGAAAAGTAATATTATTTTTTTGGAATCAACTTAAAGCCTAATAAAAACGATAGTATTGTAAATTAAATCAAGGACACTTTAATTTTAAAAAAACTCTTTAAATATGGTATAAAAACTATTAAAGAAAAAATAAATCTTTTGAAAGTTGGTTATGTTAACAAACATTTGAATAACATATTGCTTAAGAAAAAGTATAGTTAAATTCTATTGATAAGTTTTAGATAATTTTTCATATATAAAAAATTTATTTTTAGTCCAAGATTGTAAGAATTGGCTATTTTTTGCTTAATATATAAAAAAACCTATACAAAAGTCCAACCCATTTTAGACATATTAAACAATTTGACATCTCACTTCATTTCTTAAGGTAATGTATGGACAAATAGTTTAAATACTACTTAAACTAAAAACATGGCAAGATATATGTTTAACAAACCACTTTTTAAAGAAAGATTTACTATTTACAAAAATATATTAAAACTTTTCCCAAAACCTAAAATAAAACAACCTCACTTCTATAAAAGTGTTGAATAATACGTCCCATTTGTAATCCGTATAAAATTCATGTCACTAAAATAATGATAATAACATCTAGCCTTGAACTGTATAAGGAGTTAGTGTAGGACAGCTTTAATCCGCTTTTTTGAAGTTTAAGCAGCTTTTGGCAGCTTGAATGGCTTGAGCAAGATTCAAAATCACTTTGAATTTAGTGGATTTGAACATGAGAAAATTACTTTCAAGGAGATCTAAACTCATCATGGACATCGTATGAAAATAAGTATGCAACTGCAACACAAAATCTATGCACATGCAGATTTATTTAACAGGAAAAACATGATACGATCAGAATCGCAAATTACAAGCACAACACCGAATCGAGCCGACATTGTGGTACCACGACTTCAAGCTTTTGGTTACAATCCCCACTTGTGAAAGACAATCATTCACGGTGGGTTCACTTCATTCGGAGTAGTTAGAACTCTCTGCTGGTATGAAGCCTTTCAGAGTAACGGTGTCATAAACAAAGAATAGAGTTTCAAGGATTCTCTTCGTGTGTGTCGGAACCATCCCACGAGAACACTGTGCTTCAAAGCCCTCAACTGGAATTGTGCTGTGAAGCTGAAGCCTCGCAAGATCCTCATCGAACCAGTTCTTGAAGTATCAGCAGCACTGACATCAGTCCAGCATCCAGTCCATCACATCCTCCAGCTTCGGGGGATGAATCTGATACAACCGATTCAACCAGATCAGGACCTGGACTAATTGGTGGAATCTGCGGAGCAGTTGCTGGGCCTATCTTTGTTGGGCTCTTGACAGTACTTTATTTAAAGTGGGGAGGATTTGACAACCACGAGCACCCATCTTTCTTAATGCACCTTGATGACGAATCCCTGGCATACAATCTCAAGGAACCCAGCAACTTCAGGAAGAACTTTAGTGCCTACGAGCTTCATTCTAGTGGTGGTTTTGGAGTTATCTGCGTAGGTGTGCTACCTACTAGTAGCTATTATTGCGGTAAACATATCCAAAAAACGACAGATCGAGGAGACGGGAACTATCCCGCAGAAGCCCAAGCATGCAGCAAATTTGACACCGAAATCTGCTGCAGCTGCGAAAATGGTGCCAATGAAAAGAAGCTTGTTTCTTGTCCACAAGTTCACGTGAAAAAAAACCCCGGGCAAGTGCGTCTTCCATAAACGCACTCTACGTCCGGGGGACTAGCGACACTAATCCTGAATTAGCGTTGAATTTCTGTTCTAGCGGGTGTAGCATCGGTGTAGCATGTTTGCACGAAGATCGGGTGCACTTCAGGTTGCATCGAAAATTTAAGTCAAGCAACGTGCTTTTCGATGAGGGTTTCAAGGCAGTTGTGGAACTGTAGATGCCTTGAAAAAGTAGGAGAAATGTTCATAGTTGCATGGTCTGTTGCATCATCTAGCCCATCTCAAAAACGTGTGCGCAAAGCCTTTACCGTATCTAGATCTTGCTAAGATTTTAGCCTCAGTGTATCAGTCATGCTACGTTGGGTATTTTTGGTGCTAACAGCGATCGTAATTCACAGTATTCCAGTGCTGAATAGACATGGCACTTGGGTAGATCTATGACAAACATTCACATCAAGGGTCATATTCTTAACAAGATAAGTGCATTAGTGCTTTCTAGACAATCGACAAAGTGGAGAGCATCCAATGTTTCTAGAGTCGTGTTTGCCAGTTTCTATTCAGTAATCCGTTGCAGAATCATGAATACTTGACTCCACAGTGTTGAATAGAATGATCAATTCAATTCTTGACTCACACTTGACTCAGCCCATCCAATTCTTGTCAACATTTGCCCTTTGACTGTGAATTGCACGCTAACAGGCATGAAAAGTAGAGGGATCTTTACACTAATGTAGAGTGTTATCTTGGTATTGCCCTCACCAATAGAGGGTGTAGAAACAAAAGATTGATTCTAAACATCAAGCTTACATCTTTCTTACAATGATGTATACTAAGCTTGTGCATCTGTAGAAACAATTCCTATTATTTTATTAAATGAATGTGATATATTTACAATAAAGTGAGAAAAATATACTTTGCATTTGTAAAACCAATATGTTTGAAATTTTTTGAACCCATGTAAAATTTATATGTAATAAAAAAAATATCAAGCCATATTATGATGTTCTTGATTGATCAAATTTTCATCACGCTAAGAATTTGTTTTACAAATATTAAGTTTAGAGAATCCATTAATAAATTTTTAAAAATTAATCTTTTGAACAAAGGAAGTTTTTAACCATAAACTATAATTTATTGGTTTAATATAAAAGGATGTTATAAATATCTCACATTATTCTTTATATTTATAATCAATTGATTTGATTCTCAATTATTCATATATCAAAAAAATCTTAAAGTATAAACTTAAATTCAAGCTTGTAGTTTTTTATTATTATTATTATTATTATTATTATTATGTTGAAAATAATCTATATGATCTATAAATATCTGAAAATATAAATAAATAAATAAATAAATAAAATTAAAATACATATATATATATATACATATATATTTTTTGTTTTTGTATTGGTCAATTTTATTACATATAAAATTTGTATTAACAATTCCTAAAAAACTACCAATACTATAAGTTTTTTTGATAAAATAATTATAAAATAATTATAAAATAATATTAAAATTTATATTTAATTAATTTTTTTAAAAAATTAGATATTTAATTTATACAAATTCTATATTAAGAATTTTTATTAAGAATAATCTTATAGATTTATTTTCTTTGTAAATGCAACCCATTTTAAAAAATTTAAAATTTATAAATTTAAATATTCAAAAAATATTTCTAATATTTTTAGCTTATATGAAACCTATATGAAAAAATAACATATCTATATATATATATATATATATATATATATATAAATTAAAAAAGCTAAAATTATAAATATTTTCTTTGTATTTTTTGTAATCATTAAACTTAAATACTATAATAATCTAACATTCAATTCCAAAGCAAAACTATTCAAATTAGTAGTATAGATTTTTACAAAAACATTAAAAAATAAAAAATAAAAAAAAGAATTTATATTCAATGGTTGTAAAGTCCAAACTTCAATATTTTAAATGTAAGTAGGTCCAAAAGTTGGTAGGTTAAAAAATTCTTCCTAGACTTTGATTTGATTTGGAGAGCTTCTTGATCACCTTAAATTATCATTGGATTGTTATATTACTTATTGGATATTGATCTATAAGTTCTAATTCAAATAAGAATGTTCATTATTTTAAAATTGACAAGGTGTAGTTAGAATTTACACTAAGAAGAATTTTGTATGAATTACTAGTTTGAATTGGAATAGATACAACTCAACTTTAATAGAAAGAGTATATGGACTTAATTTAGAACAAACTATAGATGAGATAGGGTAGCACTTTGAAAAATAATAATATGTGTTTACAATGAATTCAATTAAAACTCTAAAATAAACAACAAAGATAAAAATTAAAATTGTGTTAATATTACTAATTATTAACCTTGGTAGTTACTTTAATGCTTTAACTATTAGCAATTAATTTTCTTTTTTTAAGCAACTATATATTTTCATGACCTAATCTGCTCTAACTTAAATTTTACAATGTTTGATTATTATGTGGATCAAATATCTTTGATTTGCCCTCTATGGTAAAAATTCTACTAGTTCAATCTTTACATAGAATGAGTATCTATAACTTACCTTCTATTGTCATGACTCTATTGATTTAAGTCTCACTACTAGGTTGATTATTCCAAATTGGACCAATTAGCAATCAGATTAAAAAAATTAATAAATTTAGTCAAAATTTTAATAACTAAAATTAAATTTCTTACAAAATAACCATAAGACTCATTTTAAATTAATTTTTATCTTAAATTTTTTTTCATGTTTTTAAAAATTATTTTTATATAAATAAAATAAAATATTTAAAATTTTCTTAAAATATTATAAAAATAAGATATATATATATATATATATATATATATATTATAAATTTAATAACTGAATATAATGAAAAAAAATTAAAATGTAATATTTCTTAAATGTTTCTAAATCTAGCTTATAATTAGTTTTTAAATTAAAATTCATAACTATTAAAAATAAAAGCTAAATATAAAAGTAAAATTTATATTTAAAAAATGTATAGTTATTTATTTAATATTATTTAATACTTTTGAATAGTGCCAAAATTAGAAAAAATATTATTAGATTTTTATTTCTTATTTATGATATTATTTTTTAACAAATTAAAAATTCTAGATTAAATGTATTTAATTATAATAGGAAGTATTAGCTACATTGTTAAGTTAGTGGCTCTATAATAGAAATAGCCAAGATATCTAAAATGAGTCAAAATTAATATAATAGTACCATCATATTCAAGAACTTCAATAATTTATAAAAATATTGCAATAAAAATATGCTATTATCAATAAATAATACAATAAGGCTTTTAAAAAAACTCTACAATTCATTACAAAACTGATATAAAGAACTAACGATTATTTTAAATATCTTACATAAACTTCAACCACTTTTTTATTCTGCTACATTGTTGAAATTTTTAAAAGTATATCTAGATATATTTTTATTACAATAAATAATATTATTACTCTAATATATATATATATATATTTAAATAAAGTACACAATTAAAATCTTCATATAATATACAAATATCTATGTGTTTTATTAGATTTATTCATATTCATCTCCATAGATTTTCTTTTAAAATTTAAAATGATGAAAGACTTTAGTACCTAAATTTACTATATTTAGTTATATCTTTAAATTATAAAATATCTTATAAAATCTATAATTAAAAAAATATGAATTATATTTAATTTAATTTAATTTAATTAAAGCCTTATAATACATAAATATTATTCTAAAATATATTATGTACTTTGATGTAATAAGAATATTTTAAAAGACAAAACAAAATAAATGTTTCAATATATCATCTAAATAATAATTAAATTTTATATTTTTTTAACTTAATATTATAATACTAAAAAAAATTTTAAATATGATTTATAAAATAAAATAAAAAACTAAAATATATAAAATTATATTATTTTTTAAAATAATAATGATGATAAAGTATTTTTACAACTTATAAGCCTTTTTATTATTTTAATAAGTCTTACAAATTGGTCAACAATACAATTTGATTCTTTTAACATAAATAAATTATTTTTTGTATGTCTATTTAAGAAAGAATTAGAATGTAACAATAATAAAAAAAGAAGTTAATAAGCTACAAAGAACCAAATACTTTTAATATTTTTTTTAATGAAATTGAAGACAAAGTCAAAAAAATTTATTTAAAATAATTTTAAGATTAAAAAATTATTTTAAAAATCCTTATTGACTTAGCCAAACAAATTACCGACAATAATGTTATAACAAGATTTATAAACCAAGGTTCTATACAAAATCTTTTAAAAACATTTAAACACTCTAAAAATCTTGAATTAGTATAAATTAATATAAAAGATCATAATAAACTAATGTAAAAGAAAATTCTTATTACACTTATTTATAGCAAAAAAATGACTATTAAACCTTTTAAAAGAATATATTTGACACATAAAGAATAAATTTGTTGAGGAACATGATAACTAAACTATTAAATGTTAGATTTGATGCATTATTCTATTACTAAATTTGATAACTAAACTAT